GCCACCTTAGGTGTATGTGGCTGGCGCCTCAGCTGCTTGAGCCACAGGCGCCGAGCCAGTTTCCTTTTTTAAAGAAAGTATCTAAGCCCTAAATAAAAGCAGTAATATTTATGACAATTCTCTTTGATGAATCAAGAGGCCAAACTCTATATTAATACTCTCCACAGAAGATGTGATAATCTTTTCTGTCAGGTCCTTAGCACTGGACTTACTAAGATTCTAAAAAAAGTAACATTCTTTACCAAAGGATTTAAGTTTGGTGTGCAATTCTCCAAGAATAGAAAAGGCCAAGAGGACAGAACTGATGGGCGGCATAGGCGTCTTCTCCTCTTTCTGGGATTGTTCAGTGCATAAATGAAGTTCCGTTTGTAGGCAAGATTCCCAACTGCTGGTATCTAAAAAAATGGGGGAAATATCAGCTGCCTCAGCAATATAAGATGTTTCCACTTCTATTCCTCAGAGCCCGTTCTCTACTGAGATTCTTAATGTAGTCTTATTCAATATACTTCTAATCCAAGCAAATATTAATTATGACATACATGCCCTTGGCATCACTCTAAAACAGGAAATAACTTTTATCAGCATGTTCAAACAATCAAACTAAGAAAGATAATGTATCTACAAGAAATCCTTACTACATATATTGTTTTGTTAATTTTTTTAGGGTCCTACTCTATACCTAGGCTGGATAGAGTACAGTGGCACAATCACAGCACATTGCAACTTCTAACTCCTGGACTCAAGTGATCCTCCCACGTCAGCCCCTCAGAAGCTGGGTCTATAGGCATGCACCCACCATGCCTGGCTAGTTTTTAAACTTTTTTGTAGAAACAGGGTCTCACTGCATTGCTTAAGCTGGTCTCCAATATCAGGCCTCAAGCAATCCTCCTACCTGGGCCTCCCAAAGCACTTGGATTATAGGCATGAGCTGCTGTACCCGTGAATAAGGGAATGAAGATAAGGAATAAAAAAATGAGATCTTAGTTTCAAAGACCCCTTCTATGTTCTTCCTGCCAATGTTTAAATGGCAGTGTGTGCCAAAACAAAGAATTCAACACATCTGCCATTTTCTTTTAATTTACAGTCTACCTGGAATAGAACCTAAACTTTTCTAGATTATTTCCTTCAAAATACCCAATATACATACATATATGGATACAAATTATCTATGTACACACATATATACAAACAATGTATTTGTAGAAATAAATGAGTTATTTTACTCTAAGGTTATTTACTAATGATAAATCCCAGTCATGCTGGCTCTTAATTTTTTTTAAATCCAAAAATTCTTTACTTAAGAAGTAAAAGCAGGGGTGGCGCCTGTGGCTCAAAGGAGTAAGGCGCCGACCCCATATGCCAGAGGTAGCAGGTTCAAACCCAGCCCTGGCCAAAACTGCAAAAAAAAAAAAAAGAAGAAGAAGTAAAAGCAATTAAGAATAGTACTGAATCCTGTCTAGAAGTTTTAGAATAAGAAACAGGCTAGACACTGATATTCCATTTAACTGGAAAGTTTAGTTCCACTAAGTATTTGTATTTACATATGCACACTCATCCATAATATATTTGGAGGCCCAACTGAAAATAGGAAAGGGAGAAGGGAAAAGACTGTGACATTTTCCTTGAAATACTCTAGATTTCAAGATCCAGTGTTGGAAAATACCCCAGGCTTAATGGCATAACCTTTACACAGACCCTCAGAAGTTTTACTCTCATGGCAAACAACACATCAAAGAGGACTCACATCCAGAGATGGGCAGAGGGGCTGAAGCTAAGTAGCATAAATTAAAGCTAGGGCCAGAATAATCCTACTTCTTCACCATGCAAAGCACCTCCTATTTCATGATTTTGGCACCATCTTTTTCTCCAAGAACTGAAAAGGTGTGAGCCAAACCCCTCCTCTACCCATAAGCCCACTGCCTTCCCCCCATCTTCTTTCCTCAGCAAGAGAAAGAATAGCTGAAGAGCTCCTTGTAGATTTTTAGTCAAAATAAACGGTTGTGATTAGAATAGGTATGGCCTACGAGGAGAAACAGTATGGCCTCAAACTGCTCCCACCTCCTCCAGCACACCCTCACCACATGGAACAAAACCATTCAATCATTTTTCCTCCCTTTCCAAGGAAAAGGACAGAAGGAGGGATGAATGGAAGGGAAGTACGGTGAGGGCATATTAGGGACCCAGAGGAGTCGGTCCTAAGAAAGCATCTTGCTTAACATAAGAATTCAGTATAGAGATGGAACCTTCTCATCTGCCAATACAAAATACTTAGAGTATATTCAACACCAAACTGGTTCAGGCAGATTAAGCAAAGCAGTCCACCTGAAGTCAGCAGCACCTTTTGATGGTGGGAACTTCCATACAATCAGCTTCTGCCACTCTTCTCCAAGGTGATATAGTATGTTCTGTTTCTGTATTGTGAGCTCCATGCTGAGAGATTTCAGTATTTTTAAATCAAAGCATTTTCTGGATTTTAATAACTTCAAGCATTTCTGTGCCTAGTGGTGAAATGGAATCATTGTTAAACATTGCATCTGGACTCAGGGCAATTAGAATATATTTTTATTATGATAAAGAATGCATGGAATATAAAATTTATAAAAACCAAGAAGAGCACTAAGGCTTATGCTTTGGAGAAAGCATTTAGTACCTCTTCTAGACGCTGAGCAGCAGTGACATACTTCTTCTCTGTTAATGCACAATTGTATTCCTCAATAGCAGTAGAAAACTGAAAAGTATAATATTTTACACATCCTGTTATTTCAAGTCTGTTTGCTTGTTTTTAAAATATGAAAAGAAAAAGAAACATTGTATAGTCAGGGGATATCCACTGAATAAGACCAATCAAAAATAAATAAATAACTCACAATCAAAGCACAAAAGCTTAAGTTGAGTTTACTGACCTCTTGGAGCTGTTTTAGCAAACTTAGTACAACTGAGTCTCTTTCCAACTGCTGCTTCAAGTCTGTAAATTCAGCAGTTGATACATGAAGATCCCGGCGGACCTAATTCACACATCAAAAATAAGTACTTTTAAGTTATACTATACATAAGAAATAAAACATTTTGGCTCAGCGCCCGTAGCTCAGTGGCTACAGCACCAGGCACATACGCTGGAGCTGGTGGGTTTAAGCCTGACCCAGACCTGCTAAACAACTACAATAAAAAAAAAAAATAGGGCAGCACCTGTGGCTCAAAGGAGTAGGGCATGGCCCCACAAGCAGGAGGTGGCGGTTCAAACTCAGCCCCGGCCAAAAACTGCAAAAAAAAAAAAATAGCCACACACTATAGTCCCAGCAACTTAGGCAAGAGAACTGTTTAAGCCCAAGAGTTTGAGGTTGCTGCAAGCTGTGACGCCACAGCACTCCACTGAGGGTGACATAGTGAAACTCTGTCTCAAAAAAGAAATAAAGAAAACATTTACAGTTAATCAATAAGCTTTATTACGTCAACATAACTTATGTTAAATTCTTTTCCTTTTAGAGACAAGAGCGTCTCTGTCATCCAAGCTGAAGTGCAGTGGTATGATCATAGCTCAGTGCAGCCTCAAAACTCTGTGATCAAGCAATCCTCCCGCCTCATTCTCCTAAGTAGATAGGACTACAGGTGAGTGCCACTACACCCAGCTTTATGTTGAAATTTAAATGCTACTTAACCTGTATTAAGCCCCACCATTCCACTGAAACTGTGCTCATCAAAAAACAGAACAATCAACTCCCTGTTGCTAAATCCAAAGCATACATTACCGTAACAGTCGCATGTCATTTAATGATAGGGATACATTCTGAGAAATGCATCCTTAGGTGATTCTGTCATCATGTGAACCCTATAGAGTGTACTTAACACAAACCTGGATAGTACAGTGATCTCAGGCTACAAACCTGTACAGCATATTACTGTACTGAATGCTGTAGGCAACTATAACACAACAGTAAGTATTTGTGTACCTAAACATAGAAAAGGTACAATAAAATTACAGTATAAAGGATTTTTTAAAACATAGGCAGTTACCATGAATGAAGCTTGCAGGACTAGAAGTTTCTCTGGGTGAAACAGTGAGTGGTGAATAAATATGAAGGCCTCGGACATCACTGTACACTACTGCAGTCTTTACAAACACTGTACACTTAAGCTACACTAAATCTATTTTTTAAATATTTTTCTTTCTTCAAGAATAAATTAACCTTACTTTGCTCAAATCTTTTTAAACTATTTAACTCTTGTGTAATAACAGTTTAAAACAAATATATTATATGGCTATACAAAAATAGTTTCTTTATATTCTTATTCTATAAGTTTTTTTCTATTTTTAATTTTTTTTTAACTTTTTAAATTTTCTTGTTAAAAACTAAAACATACACATTAGCCTGGGCCTAATCCTAGGATTATAATCAGGACTATTAAAACATCACCAGGCCAACAGGAATTTTTCAGCTCCATCATAATCTCATGGGACCACCTTCAAACATGCAGTTAGTTTATCACTGACTAAAACTTCATTATGTAGCGCAACCCTGTATTGAACTAGTTAACAGTACACTGTAACTCTCCTTTCCTCTACAGTTCTCTACAGATTTTCCTCTTAATTCTCTAGCCATTCCTTTTTCACCTTCTTTTGGGGGCTTCATTTTCCTTCTACCATTCCACACATACTGACATTCCTTTCTCAATGGTCGTCTTCTCACTCTGAACCAGCAGTTCTCAACAGGAGGTAATTTTACCCCCCTTCACCCAGGACATTTGGCAATGTCAGAACACACTGGTTGTCTCACTGAAGGAGTTCTACTGGCATCTAGTGGACAGAGGCCATGGAGACTGCTAACACACTGCTAACAGTGTATACGACAGACATCCACAACAAAGAACTCCCCAGACCAAAACACCAACAGTGTCAAGGCTGAGACACCTTGCTCTGTTACACTTTCTCTGGGATTTCTTGACTATTCCAATGGCTTCAGTTACTAAGTGCTGCTATCTCAAGTCTACGTCATTTTCCTAAACTCCAAACATATACAGAAGGGGTGGGGTTGCAAACTGTCCACTAAAATCCATTTTCCCTTTTTCCATATTAATGGCGCTCAAATATTATATATTTTCAGCTCCTTCACAATTCAGTGTGACCATATCTAAGATCTTATCAATGGAATGTTAACAAACGTGCTGTGTACCCAACTCTGAGTCTTAGGAAAATAGTAGTGCCTCCTCCATGCCCCCTCTTTGCTCTTAACCTCCTGCCATAATCTAGACATCAGAAGAGACCAAGACTGAACCATATAAACAACAAAATCCTAAAAGCAGTGCTTCTCAAACAGTACCATGTATACATATTACTTGGCGAATCTCATTAAAATATAGATTCTGGGCTTGGCGCCTGTGGCTCAAGTGGCTAAGGCGCCAGCCACATACACCCGAGCTGGTGGGTTCGAATCCAGCCCAGGCCTGCCAAACAACAATGATGGCTGCAACCAAAAAAAATAGCCGGGCGTTGTGGCAGGCCCCTATGGTCCCAGCACCTTGGGAGGTGGAGGCAGGAGACTGGCTTGAGCCCAGGAGTTGGAGGTTGCTGTGAGCTGTGATGCCATAGCACTCTACCCAGGGCGAAAGCTTGAGGCTCTGTCTCAAAAAAAAAAAAAAAATACAGTTTCTGCTTCTGATATCTGGACTTGGGCCTTTGACCCTGTATTTTTACCAGTTGCCAATCCTGCTGTTCTACAGACTTTTTTAAAAACAATTCTCTAGAAGTCTCTCACATTTCTATACACTAGTTTCTTGTGAAACAGAGACTATCTTTAGTTCTGGGCTACCTTTTCAAGGATGTCTATTTAGTAAACAGCCTTTGAAGATAGAGATGGTGTCTCCTGCAAAAGGGAGGCATGCTTTCTAATTATAAGATTCAGAGCTTGGCGCCTGTGGCTCAAGCAGCTAAGATGCCAGCCACATACACCTAAGCTGGTGGG